CATCGAAAAAATTACAAGAGGGTTCTCAACCATTTGCCAAAATATGAACCCATCACGAGAAAAGTGTTTGTTGATTACATTTCATTCCATACACGTGGTCATCATCAGTTCAACATCGAAGCTTCATCAACAGCATCAACCGAACGCCGAGTACTGCAGACAACATGCATCACAGACGCTACATGTGGTGGACAGAAAACACGTGTCATCAAAAGACGGACAACACTCTGACACACGACGGCGACCTCACGCAAATAAATAACACAATACAAATATCTTATAATTTGAAGCAAAACAGCGATCCAATGCACATGCGAAACAGAGTGGTGTCGACCTGCTCCGCGCCGGCACCCAACAAGCACCGAAAAACCCCTCCCTCACATTTCCCATCCCCATGCCCACGGATTTGCGCGGGAACACTGCCGCGGCGAGGACGACATCAATGAACAACGGAAAAAACAAAACACCGACGTCACTGCCGATCACCTACGACAATTGAGCCGCTTCACTGCCGATCAACCACGACCTGGGGAAGCACACTACCGTCGACTACAACAACAAACACCTACAAACGAGCCGTCCGCCACTGCAAACCCTACGAGCTAACTGCGCGCATTCGTGAATGACGCAAGCGCTGCGACTCGACGACGGACGCACACGGCTTCTGTTTGTGTACGCGAGACAGAGTGGCGCGACACGCACGATCAGATGTGTTTCATTCGCTGCGCTAGGGCATTGCGGAGCACGTGTGCGGCGTCCGTCGATGTCAGCATCATCACTGGCTGTAGTGGACGATGAATCCCCAGGTCCACTCGCCACCTCACCCCGTTCTCGTCGACCTCCCACAACAAGTTCTCGTCGAACTCGATTCCAGCATCGAGCAGGATGTTGTGGAGAATGCAGACGGCCGTGAAATGTTGCGGTAGAGTGTCCAAGTTCGTCTTGTGCGACCGCGGGAAGAGCCTCCACATCCCCTTCAACCTCTCGAACGCCCTCTCCACAACACCTCTAGCGACCTTTTGTTTGTTGTCGAACCTTTCCTCGTCCGGGTGCTGATTGATTCCCCTGTACGGCACCACTATCCATTCTGAAGGAGGATACCCGTTATCGCCCAAGATGTATCCGTTCGTCCTCACCCCTCCCGGCAGCGTTACAGGCGGCCCGCGAAAAAGCATTCCCTCTTCCGCGCGCTTCGACAAACTTGACAACTGGATCACCCGAATGTCGTGGCAGCTGCCCCGGTAGCCAACGAAGACGTCAAGCACACGCAGATCTAGGTCCACCACCACCTGCGCAATGACGGAGAAACGGTGCTTGCGGTCGAAGTAGTTCTCGCTCGGAGCGTTCGCCGGTTTGTCCATGTAGATGTGTGTGCAGTCAACTGCGCCATGGCAGTTGGGAAAGCCCTTGTCCTGAAACGCCCGTAGCACCACGTGTTTACGCACCCCCGTCGGCCACGATATCTTGTCCCCGTAAACCCTCAACAACGCGGTTGTTACATCGCGCACGGCTCGGACTCCGGATGCTCTACCAATGCCGAACGATGATGTGCTGTTGTCGTACGACTTTCCTGTTTCCCACCTATACAGTGCGTACGCGACGATCTGATCAGGCTGAAGCGGCTCCCTGTAAAACGTGACCTGTCGTTGCAAATGAGACGCACAGGCTTCGGTGATCTCCATGAACACTCTCCTCGACATGCGGAGCTTTTCCCGGAAGAAGTCATCCGTCGCGTCATCGCACACCCGCAAATCCTCCCAAGTCCCGCCAGTTCTCCGCCTCATCCACCAACGTGGCGTCGCCCTGGGAAGCACACCGGAGCCGATTGCTGCGCACAGCTGAACCACGGCCTCCGAAGTTGTGATGCAGTCCGGGGCGTCCAACACCCTCTGCAGTAGAAGCCTGTGTCGCCGCCTGGAAAGCACTGCCTTCATGCGGCCCGCCGCCCTCTCCGCTTCGTATCGACGGACTACGGCAACGGCAGCCGCTGCGACACTGTCCTCTCCGTCCGCGACAGCACAGCACGGCCACCCCCATCGCATCCCTCCATTTGTGCACGTCCACGAGGAAGAGCAACGTCCACCGCCACCCACCTGCGCGAATCAACGTCCACGGCGACGATCGAAGACGCCTACAACGAGGTGTGGAAGACAGGCGTGATGACAACCGCGATGGGAGCGTTCGTCCTCCGTCCCTGAACCACGGAAGCGACGATCACATGGAAGTGGCGAGCGCAGGAGCTGACACGCCGCTTCGTTTTGCCTGCGACGAATACACTACACACGGTGGCGGCGCGGTGCCGCTGAAGTACAAAACGCGACGTCAAGCCTGCGCGCTCGTCCCCCAGTCGACGTGCTCTTCCGCCTGTGCGCCGCCACACCATCGTTCGGCGCGGAGAAAATTCGAATTTCGAATTCCGAACAGGGCCGTTCCCGCGTTCGCAATTTAATTTTCCACGGCCCGTGAAGTCTTGCCGCCGTCCGGCTGGTGGACCACCGCGCCTCGCACACGGACATCCCGAATCGGAGGTCGGACAACACCCTCGCGGCCGTCTATAATCTCATGAAACTGGCCGCGGGACAGCCCCGAGGACGCATCCTCGGGGCTACTCTCCGAGGACAGGTGGAACGACGCCTTCAAAAAAAAAAAAAAAAATCCGAGGATTCGTCCTCGGAGCTCGAGAACGCTCCGAGGAGTGTCGAACCACGCCCTTAGTGGAAAAAGCCAGACCTCTGTTTGGCCTGAACACAAAGCATCTGAAGGACAAGGGCATTGTTACATGCCATTGTGTGACTAACCAGATGGTGAGCTGGCAACAGGCAAGCGATTTATTTGAAACAGAGTCAGCATGGGCAGCCGTGGGTTTGGCTATTGTGAGGGAAGCCCTCATAGTATTTTCACGAATGAAATCGGCCAATAGAAATTGGAAAGAGACTAAAACTGTTCATATTCATAAACAGGTAATGGGCTCGAATCCTGACCGGATACAATAAAGATACTATATAGATAGATAGATAGATAGATAGATAGATAGATATACGGGCAAGGTCCGTGCAAGCGCAACCATCTCAACCTCCGCCACAACATACATAATACATACTTTTTTTTTCTTTTTCCTTTTTTTTTTTTTTTTTTTTTAA